AGGACCAGAATCTATGCACCCATCCTAGGCTTCGTTCCATCATTCAAGATGCAGTTTATTGAGCTGAACTCAGGGCTAGGGGTCCCGACGGGAGCACAGCCACCCCCTGATCTCTTGAAACGCCTCCTAGGGGAGGGGACAGACACAGGTGACAATTAGGACGTGATTTAGGCCTCACAGAAAGGCCAGAGTACCAGTGACTCACATAATGCAGGCTACCTCTGAGTCTTGAGAGGGTCTAGGTTAGCCCCCTCACCCCTGCTCGGGGCAGCTCTCCACCCTTCGAGCTCGTGCCAGTCCTGAGGAGGCGGAAGTGGAGCTGGGCCTGTCATGACGATGATGATGGATCACAAGCCTGGGGAAGAACTAGGGAGTCCTCTGTGCGGGGTGGGGCTGGGGGTGGGGAGGGGAGTCTGGAGGGTCCCCAGATCAGACTCTCTGTGAGTGGGGGGGATGCACCGGGACTGTTTAAAGGCAGCAGGGGGCAGGAAATTGGACAGCAGGAACAGAACTGATAGGGCCTCAGGAGACGGACCCCGGGGGACTTGGTCCCATCAGGATGAAGGAGGGAAGAGTAGGAGGAAAATGAGGCTTTGGTGTGAGCCTCAGACTCGTGCCTGGGGAATGAAAGGGACCCAGAGTGTGAGGGATGTGGGGGGCGGGGGAGGTAGTATGTGTGGGCTTCAAATGGGTGACCAGGAAGCAGCTAGAAAGGCCAGTCCAGGGGCTGGAGCAATAGCACAGTGGGTAGGGCCTTTGCCTTGCACGAGCCAGACCTGGGTTCAATTTCCAGCATCCTATATGGTCCCCTGAGCACTGCCAGGTGTGACCCAAAAAGAAAAAAAAAGACAAATAAGAAAAGAACAGGCAGTCCAGAGGACAACTCTCCCCGGCGAGGGCACCTCCAGTGACCCCCTGCCTTGAGTATCCACTCAATTCCTTCCGGGTACAGGGCCAATCAGCAGATAGTCACCTGGGAAGCCTGTGTCTTCATGAAGAGACTCTGACCCCACAATATGGGGGATGCCCTACCACTCACCTGGAGTTTTCTTTTCCTTGCAAGAACAGAGACCCAGTTCAAACTGGAGAGAGAGAGAGAGAGAGAGAGAGAGAGAGAGAGAGAGACCCACACCGCACAGGGGGACAGGGGGTGAGTGGCAGTGGGCCGTGTTCTCGGCAAGAAGCCCCCTGAAACTGAAGACGCCCCCCTCCGTGGAGAAATCACTGTCCCTTCCCAGACAGGCAGCCTCAGGGTGATCAGCCAGGACCAAGCCACAGCCCAGCTCCCACCCGCCTACTGCAGCCAAGGACGGTGTAGGGACAGATCAGCTAGATTCACTCACATCCCAGGGAGCCAGTCTTGAGCCAGGCCTGGCATCAGTCACGTCCTCCAGTGGGATTGAGACATAGCAAATCCCCCAAAGGACACGTGGTCACAGTTACTGCAAGACAGGGTGCCCCGGGCAGCAGTAGCAGCAGCAGCAGCAGGTGTGTGACTTGGGGTTTCTGGGGAGCAGCCAGGATAAGGGATGTGGGTTCTTCAGGGACCCAGTAGAGTCTGGAGGTGCCACCATAATTCTTGCCCAGGGGAGAGAGATGGGTATTTCTACGGAGAAGGAGTAGGTGGGGCCGGGACTGAGCTGGGGAGGGAAAGATACCAAGGGCCGCCACCACCATGGAGGAAGAGGAGAGGTTTGCTCTAGAGCCCCGGATGCTTGGCAGGATTTTGAGGTGTGGAAAGCAGGTGAAGGAGGATGAGTGCAGGGACCACCGACAGGCAGGAAGGTCCTTAGGTACAGAGCTGCCGGTGGGGAAGGCCTCAGGGGGAGGCAAGTGTGATCCTGGCAACCAGGGCAGGTGATTGCATCCAGGGCAGCAGCCAAGGGCACAGGGCTGAGGCAAACTCTCTGTGTTCACACGAAAGTCCATTTTTCTTCTTCTGATGCATGCGAGGAATTCCCCCCCAGAGCCACGGGATTCTGGTGTTTCTTCACAGGAAGCCCCGAAGCACCTGCTGGCCCCCTTTCTCTGTTTGTGGATCTTCAGAGATCTGGCATTGGCTTCCAAACAGATCCTCTTTCCCGACTGGATCCTGAGCCCCTGGAAAGGTGGGCCTGCCCCCTCTGCTCCCTGCCCAGGGCCACTTCTGTCAAGACAAGCCCAGGCACACGGTAACCATTTGTCTGGGATGGGCCATGCTTTCCTGGAAGGGGGAATCTTCCAGTAAGAATTTGCACAGAGGGCTGGAGAAACAGCACAGTGGGTAGGGCGTTTGCCTTGCACGCGGCCGACCCGGGTACGATTCCCAGCATCCCATATGGTCCCCTGAGCACCACCAGGAGCGATTCCTGAGCGCAGAGCCAGGAGTAACCCCTGCGCATTGCCGGGTGTGACCCAAAAAGAAAAAAGAAAAAAAAAGAATTTGCACAGAGCACGAGAAGGGAGCCTCAAGCGGAGACCTCACTCCCACAACAGGCTCCCAGCTACCCCTGGATGGGAAATGGATGCTCTGACTCATTTTCTTTTTCTCACTCTCAGTTTTTCAAGAAACTGACATTTCGGGGGCCACAGGAGTATAGCACAGTACCTAGGGCATTTGTCTTGCACACGACTAACCAGGATTCAATTTCTGGCACCAGGTGAGGTTGCCAAGCCCTGCTCTGCCAGGAGTGATCCCTGAGCACAGAGCCAGGAAAGAGCCCTGAGCACTGCCAGGTGTGCTACCCCCTCCCCACCCCCACCTCACTCCCACAGTCACTCGCCCTCCACCCCCAAGAAAAGGAATTCACCTTTTTTCCTGTTTCACAGCTGAGAACTCCAGGTGCTGAGTCACCTGGCAGCCGTGGATACCTAAGGCGGGAAGCGTGTGCCACTGCCGTGGGGCTACCTGGGCCGGGCCGAGGCTGTGAGTTCCCAAGGTTCCGTCACCTTCAACGTCCCAGACTTGACCTCTCCCATTTTACAAATGTGAAACCAGGCTCATAGGCGTTAAGTAACTGCACCCCAGAGAGAATTGTGGTGACTCTGAATGCACAGTCCACGCTCACAGAAGCCCCTCAGAACTGGGTCATTCCTCACGCTGGGGTCCAGCTCACACAGCGCCCACAGCTCTAATGCAGCTTCAGAGGCTGCTCCCGCCCTGTGCCCTTTGGGTTCCACTGACTGTGCTTTCCCCAGAGGCCCTAAAATCCTAAAAGGGACCTGATCCGATGGGGGTGGGAGGGATGCTGGGACCCGTGGTGGTGGAAAATGGGCACTGGTGGAGGGACGGGTATTTGATCATTGCATAATCGAAACCCAAGCACAAAAAACAAGTGTAAGTCTACAACTGTACCTCATGGTGTTTCACTAATAAAAACTAATTTTAAAAAAAGGAATGAGGGGCTGGAGAGATAGCACAGCGGGTAGGGCGTTTGCCTTGCACGCGGCCGACCCGGGTTCGATTCCCAGCATCCCATATGGTCCCCTGAGCACTGCCAGGGGTAACTCCTGAGTGCATCGCCGGGTGTGACCCAAAAAGCAAAATAAAATAAAGGAATGAAACAAACAGGGCCCCCCTTCCCTTCCCTTCCTCCCCTGCCGCTGGCCTGGGGTGCGGGTGTGGACCCAACGCCGGCAAGTCCTCAAACCTTCGGCTTGAACTTCTCCGGTGCCCCCTGGCGGTCGTCAACATAACCGCGTTCTCCCTGGAATTCCTCTGCCCACCCGGGGTCTCACCCCGAAGCGCGGTGGGGGCGGGGAGGCGGCGCCCTATATACCAAAGGGCACGCGAAGGGAATGCCAGGCCCGGCGCTCCTGGCACGAGCCCGTCCCGCGGCATCACTACTCTCTCTCTGTCGTTCTCGGTCGCGGCTGGCTCAGAGTGGGGACCCAGCCGTGGTCCCCTCGAAGCGCACGCGCCTCTGCTACCTGTGCCGAGTGCGAGGGAGCCGCGTCCCGTGCCAGCCCCTCTGGGTGGTCCTTCTACATCCTGGGTGGCTGTCCTTGCAGATGGAGCCTCAAGGTACCCCGACGAGGTAGAGGCATGCTGCATAGACCCTATTCCACCCGCTCGTTTGCAGGAATGCTGGGAGGGTGGGGGGCTCCAAATGCCCCTTTAAAAAAGTGTGAGGGGAGGGGACCGAAGAAGAGAAGGAACCGCAGATGCCCTGCAGGCCGCTGGCTCTCCCCTGGGGTGCTCAGAGAGATCGCAGCAAAAGGGTGTGGGGAGGTGTCCCCTCCCACCCCCCAGGATCATCCCCTGCAAGTCAGAATGTGGGTGTGGGTGAGAACGGTCCCTTTGTGGAGGTGAGGAGGGGGGCTGGAGTGGTCCCCGGGGTCTCTGATCAAGGGTCAGTGTGCTGGAGAGGGGCGTGGCCGGGCAGGCCGTGGCCCTGGCCAAGCGCTTCTGGGCAGCGTTGGTTCTCCTGGCCAAACGTGCGTGTCTGGGTCCCGGGAGAGAGGAGAGGGCGCCAGCCTGGGAACCCGAGCTCTTCCCTGAGCCTCCCATCATCCCCGAGCACCCAGGGGGATGAGCCCACCCAAGGGTGCAGGCAGAGCTGCAGGACTCCAAGGGCAGCCACAGGCCCAGGGGGTGTCCATCGGGTCAGCGTAACTCAGCCCAGCGCGCGCTGGGCAAAGCCCGGAGCGCAGAGCGACCCCTGCGCCGGAGACTTTGGAGAAGGCCAAGGGGTCCCGGGGTGTGAGCGAGAGGCGCGAGGCCCCGGGCCCACCCCGCGGCCTTCCTGCCTATAAATACCCCCGCGTCACTTCAAAGGGGACCGGGGGCGCGGGCGAGGGGCTCCCGGGGCGGGGCGGGGGCGCTCTGCGCACCACGCCCCCCACCCCGGCCGGCCGGGTCGGCGTAAATCAATCCGAGCCGCCCGCGCGGCGGGAGGCGGAGGGGGCGGCGCGGGAGGAGGGAGGGGGCGGGAGAGATTAGTTTGGGAAGTCGCGCGGATTGCTCATCCGATCCCTGCCGCCGCCGCCGGCACTGTGTCAAGTTACGGAGGCGCCGCGCTCGGCCGCGACCCGCCTGTGCCATGGGGCCCTGCCGCTGCGCCCCTGCGCCCCGGGACTAGACGCGCGCGCGGGGCGCACGGGAGACGGCGCACAGCACCCCGAGGCCCCTGCGGAGCGCGGCCGGCCCGAGGCCCCGAGCTGCCCTGGACTTGGAGCGAGCGTCCTTCCACGGAACGTGTCCCCGCACCTGGGTGGACTCCGATTCCCGCCGTCGCCTTGGTTTTGTTTGCGTTTCCCGTTCTTTTTCTTTCTTTTTTCCAACCCTCCCCGTCCTCCTCCGGCCTTGCCCAGCCTCCCGCGAATGTTTCCGTCCTCCTGACCGAAGCCAGGGGACAGGAACTTTCCCCCGAGGGACTCCAGCCCTCGGCCTCCCGCCCCGCGGCTCGGAGCGCGCCTTGAAGGGGCAGCGGCTCTCGCTCTTTTATTTATTCTATTTATTTATTTATTGGGTTCTCGACGCGCCGGAGGATGGCAGCGGAGCGCGCTCGCAAGCCCGCGGCGGCGGCGGGTGCCGGCGGCCACCCCGGGGAGCCGGGCGCGCCCGAGCCGGGGGTGCCCCTGGAGCGCTGCGCGCGGCGGCCCAGCCCGGGCTCCTGCGGGCTCTGGGCGCTGGCCCTGTGCTCGCTGGCGCTCAGCCTGCTCGCCCACCTCCGCACCGCCGAGCTGCAGGCCCGGGTGCAGCGCCTGGAAGCCGAGCGCGGCCAGCCGCGAGTGGAGACGGCTATTTTGGGACAAGTCAACCAACTGCTGGACGAGGTCTGTCTCTTTGTCGCTGGCCCTTACCCCTCCCCGCGGCGCCCCCTCGCGCTCCCGCTAACCCTCCCCCAGCCGGTGCCCGGAGCGGGGCGGGTGCACCCGGGCACCGGACCCCGCAGGGGAGCGAGAATGAGCAGAAGCGCCCGGCGCGCGCCCCGCTGCCCTCGCGCCTTAGGCCAGTGCTCCCAGCGCCCCCGGCGGGCGCGTGGTGCAGGTGGCGCCCAGCGCTGCTGCTCCCTTGAACGCCCCCCATCCCCAACCCCCACGCCCCAGTCCCCCGGAGGGTTCCAGAGCTGTCTGCGCCCCAGGGGCAGATCGTTTGTGCCCGGTGGCCCGAGCTGCACCCACGCCAGCCTGGCCCCGGGCAGGCGCTGCCCACCCACGCCTGGAGGGTCAGTGCCTGCTGCTTTATTCCCATTCCCCAGGGAGCAAGCGAGGCAGTGAGTGAGTCATCCGAGGGACTGAGGGACGGACCGGCCTTGCAGGGCTAGTGCCCTGGCCCCTGGCCCCTGGCCCAGACTGGAGTCCAGGTGTGGGTCGGCCAGGGTCTGCTGAGTGTGGGCACCAATGAGGTCTCTCGTTCCTAAGCCGGGGCTCTTGACAGCCGCCCCTGGGAGTGTTCCAGTGTCCTGTGTGGATGTTTTCTGGGGAGAGGAGGCTGCCCGGGCGGGTCAGGCTCTGGAGGTCTGGGCAGATGCCCAGGGCAGGGCAGGCCCTGGAAGGAGCTTCTGGGCCAAGGGTACCTGGAAGGAGGTGTTGTGGTCTGGTGACTCGGAGTCCAGCCGGCCTGAATTTTCGCCCCACTCGGCTGCTTGGAAGATGTGCTTGGCGGGGGTCAGACCTGGCGTCCTGGGAATGATAGGGTCAGGCCTTCGAGTCCAGCGAGGTGGAGTGTGGTGGCCGTTCTGGTGTGACCCACGAGTTCTCTGCATTCAGGCTCCCCTCGGCTCACTGCTTCTAGGCAAAGTTAGGTGCCTGTCCCAGAAGCTCCCCTGGGTGACCCCCGAGAGGGAGCCTAGTGTTGCTGCTGGCGGTGGCCCCTGTCTGCCACCTGAAGCTTATTCCCGTGGCCTGCAAGGCTCCTGGGAATCAGAGGCTCTGGCCAGTGGCCCGGGGTCCCCTGGGAATGACAGGGGTCAGGAACCAGAAGTCAGAGGGGTCCACAGCTATCTCTGGAGACAGGCTGCAGTGTGCCTGGGACCGCGTAGGTGACAGGAGGCTTGCGGCATTGAGGACCCTGCCTGCTCTGGGCTGAGTATCTGACTCAGTTCTCAGCTCCGTCTGCACCCTTTCCCGGCCTCTCCTGTGGGCCAGGGCTCACCCCTGCCCTTCCCAGGTCCTCCTTCCTGCCCTGGAGACTTCGCCGTGCCCTGGGGCCTTGCAGCGGGCTGGTTTCTGACCGTTTCTGACAGCGGAGGGAGGGATTGCTGATTCTGCTGCTTCCACTCCCAGCCCCAGATTCCCTGTGCCCTTCTAGAACTTTTACCAGCCCGCCGGCACGGCTGAGCATACCCTCCCTGGAGAGGGGGCACTTGCGTTCAGGAAAGTTACCTAAAGGCCACGTGAAACCCAGGACCAGAATCCCTATCTCCAGTGCTCCGTCTGCTCAGACCTGCCCCTTTCTCCGTCCAGTCTCTGCCATGGGGCCTGCTGTGGTTCCCCGAGAGCCGGCTGCAGGTCAGGCCTTCCTGCGGACATGCTTGCACACCCTTACAGGCAAAGAGGAGAGAGTGGGCAGCAGCGGGCCGGGCCACGCATTAGCCTTTAGCCATCCTGGCCCTGGCAGCTCCCTGGGAAAGCCACGGTCGGTCGGGCTCCAGGGGAGACTGCACCGGGGAAAGCGAGTTTTGCAGGCAGAAATGGGGGCTGAGTGCGGGCGCCTGTGCTGGGCCACAGCGGGACAGCTTCTGGGTTTTGCAGACCTGGGAGCAGCGTTGGCCTCGGGAAGGGAAGGCAGCTCAGCTTCCAGGGCAGAGGGAGGGTGATGGCGTGGTGGCAGGAGACAGTGGGCTCTGCCAAGAGAGGCGTCTTTAAGAGCAGCGGGGAGCCAGGGAGAGGTCTTGCGAGTCAACTTGAGGCTCGCATAGACGCCCGAGGACTGTGGTGTGGGCGAGGGGGCAGCGTGGGGTATGGAAGTAGCGGCTGCTTGCAAGACTCTGTGGTCAGGGGGGCGCGTGGCAGTCAGAGGAGGGGGCGTCCCGTGGGAGGGCGGGCTGCACGGGTCTGGGGGGGTCTTTGGTCCAGAGGCTCCTGAGGGGGTGAGCTGGGCATTCACTGTCATAGGTGACTCACGAAACTAAACAAACGTCTAGATTCCGTTCCTCGATCCTCTGGCCACATTTCCAGGAAGTGCTTGGCAGGCCAGGCACAGCTGGGCACAGGTGTCCGCGGGCACGACCCTGACGCTGCGCGCCCAGCTCCTCTCCCAGACCCCAGCTGAGGCAGTGGTGAGGAAGTAGGGAGCCGGGAAGGGAGGCGTGGGGCCGCTGAGCACTGAGGGGCCGGTGGCCAGGCAGGAGAGCAGTGAGCGAGCAGAGGGCGGGCGTGTGCTCCGGGATCATTCAGAGAATCAAATATGCAGAAGCTTCCCAGCTGCGCCTGAGCGTGGGGCCCCCTCCCTGGGTTCCATCGGTCCTTGGCCGCCCCTAGGCCAGCCCCGCCACCCTCTGAACCTCAGATTCCCTTCTGGAAGACCCAGGTCCCTGCTAACTCTGAGCTGCTGGGATGCTGTGGGGGGCTCGGGTGGAAGAGAGAGGCACCCCTGAGCCTGGAGCACACGCCTGCATCCCAGACAGTGTCTGGGCACCCCCAGGAAATGGAAGAAGGACCCTGGGCAGTGCCCTCTGGCAAGGCCCCCAGGGGACCCGGGGGCCTGGAGAGCGGAATCCTGGGGCTGGGGCCAGACTGCATTTGAGTGGTTGGGAGAGAGATGGTGGCCGGAGAGGAAGAGGAGAGGGCCCGAGCCAGGAGGGGGCTGGAGAACCGGAAGTATGGCTGCAGGTCTCGCACCCGCCTTGGCTTCAGCAGCCCCCTTTTTTTTTGTGCAAGACATGTGCTCTGCCTGCTGGACTATTGCTCTGGCCCCTAAAATGAGAGTTTTAATATCTTTTCTCACACCCCTGACTGTAGTGTGACTTCACTCTAAAGATTCTTTTTTTTTAAATTTTTGTTAGTGAAACACCATGAGGTACAGTTGTAGACTTACAGATTTTTGTGCTTGGGTTTCAGTTATACAATGATCCAGTACCCGTCCCTCCACCAGTGCCCATTCTCCAACCCCACTGATCCCAGTATCCCTCCCACCCTCCACCCCCCATCCCACCCTGCCTCTGTGGAAGGGCATTCCCTTTTGTTCTCTCTCTCTCCTTTTGCTGCACCCCTCTTGAGAGCAGGGACCCCCAGTGAGCAGTGCCTGCTGTCAAGGCAGAGACTGTGAGGTTCTGCGGGAGGAAGGCGGGTCCGCACACCCAGAGGGAAGGAGAGGGACAGCGAGGACGTACAGTCCCTGTCGAGCTTGTGGGGGAGGGGGTCAGGTCCCTCCCCATGATGTGCAGGGCATGCAGACTCGAGGTTTGGTGCTCAGCCCCAGCTGCTGGCAGGGCAAAAGGGGCAGGTGGGGGTCGGGGACTGAACTCGGGGCCTGAGGTTGCCACCATGTGGGCCCTGTCCCCCCACCCAAGGTGATGACAACTCCTATGGGCATGCCCTCACCTGTGGGACCTGTACAGCGACAGTTCTGCGGTGCATTGCGGGGGGAGGGGGCACACAACTGGCATTGCTCAGGTGGCCTCCTGGTGGGCTCGGGGTGCTCCATGGAGACTCCCCAGTCCCCCAAATTACTTTAAAAATCATCATCATAACAGGACTGTCACATTTATAGTGTGGGCCTAAAATTTTTTTTTCTTTTTGGGTCACACCCGGCGATGCACAGTGGTCACTCCTGATTCTGCACTCAGGAGTGACTCCTGGCAGTGCTCGGGAGACCATATGGGATGCTAGGAATCGAACCCGGGTCAGCCACGTGCAAGGCAAAAGCCATGTGCAAGGCAAATGTCTTACCGGCTGTACTATCGCTCCAGCCCTAAATTTTGTTTTTATTTGAAGTACTGTGATTCATCATGGCAGAGCCTGGCAAGCTCCCCGGGGCGTATTCGATATGCCAAAAACAGTAACAAGTCTCACACTGGAGACGTTACTGGTGCCCGCTCGAGCAAATCGATGAACAGCGGGACGACGGTGCAATAGTGCAGTGCTACCTTGATTCACAACACTGTTCGCGTCAAGGGTCCATGCCTGTGACATTCCAAGCCCATTCCCCCACCAGAGTCCACTGCCCCTCACCACCGTGTCAGGGGCCGACTCAGCCAACCCCGCCCCTGGTGGTGCCCAGGCCCCGCTCCGGCCCCTTGCTCAGGGTCACTCCTGGATCGCCCTCGTGCCAGGCAAGCGTCCTGCCGGCCCTGCCATGGTCCCTTCGTGGTGCTTGTAGGATTTCTTGGGTGCACACACAGTGCACAGGGTAGAACTGCGGCTCCTGCTGGCCAGGGTGCTTTCAGGGCCACGGCAGGGTGTGGCCCAGCCCCCAGCCCCAAATCAGCAACAGCGTCCAGGAGGCTAGCTTACTGCATTTGCTGGGGAGGCACCCTCTGGGGCGAGTCTGTACAACATCAGTGCCTGATAGACAGGAGGAGGATGTGTTTGCCTCCCTGTGGGGCCACTGCAGGGGTCAGGAGAGACTTTCCGGGGAGGGCAGCAGTTAAAGGAACCTCCTGCTTCCTCGGGGGAGGGGACCTGGGGCTGGGCCTGTGCACGGCTTGCTTTAATGTCTGACACTGTCCCGGACCCCTGGATTTACTTTATGCATGTGTCTGCCTCTCCCGATAATCTTGTGCGAGAAGTGGTCACTCTTTAACTAGTCTCTTCTCGGAGGAGAAAAAGGGCGGTCCACAGAGACAAGTGTCTTTCTCCTCATCCCCACAGCTGGTGAGTGACACGGCCGG